TAAATAATAATTATTTATTCGGCGGGCGGTTCTTCGATGCCCACGGTACACCTTCGGCGCGTACTTCGAATATCGATCTCGCGATCCACAAAAATTCACTGTTGTGCGAGAAAGAAGTGGACGTGGGCGAGAGAAGCCCTGCGAGATCGCGTTTGCACCGGACGCGCAAAGATACTCTCCGCGAGCGGCGGATGTATTTTGAATACCGCAAGCGACGGTATAAACGGCGCGAGTCCGAGAGCGACGAAATAAACGGCGCGTTTTAACTGCGAGAGATTAATCGCGAGCGACGAGAATCTCTTTTATTACTATCGAAAACTTCGCGTTTTGTAAGCAAGAGTATGAACTGGAAAAGCGAGCGACTTCTCTATCACGAGAGTTTAGACGATATAATAACACACTGTCACGGATGTAGTTCACGATCGAGTGCGCCCGGCGGTTACCCGAGAGAGCTTTTATACCAGTGCTCGGAGATAGTTATATATTACTATAACATATGTAATATATTACTAATAGACAAATTATCTGGCAAAGCAAATTTAACGACGATTTGACGGCAGGTATAATCTTAGCATATTTTTTAGATCGGGACGCTCCTGAGGCATAGCGTTGCGCGCGCGATCGGCGGCTTGGCCGTCGAGCCTCGAGCGGTAGTGGGGGAACCGTAGGCGTCGCTTCACATATCGGCCCGAAAAGGACAACTATCTCCGAGCACTGTTTTACCGTGATCTGATTTGCGGCGAGCCGTGCGCCGCGCGAGATGGCCGCTAACGCGCCAATTTTCGAGCTCTCCCTTTGGAGACGCTCAATCTCAAACAACTGTATGGCAAAATAAACCGAGTTGGGCGCCAGGTACGGCAGGCCGCACCATTCACGATAAACGCAACAACGAAAGACAATTGCGAGACCGATAATTAAAAATTCCACAGCGACTCAGTTTACCCGAAATGGTAGAGGGGGTAGTTCGGGGGAAACGGGAGAGATCCGGAGAGTCGAGAACACGGGAGCCAAAATGAGCATTCGATTTGTTAAAATAGAAATAACAATAATATATTAAAAAGAAACAAGAGTATAGAGCAGTTCGCATAAATGATAGCCTTTGATGACAGTAGTTATTTTACAGGCGAATAAGATACTTTATTTCCGCGGAGATCGACACGACCGTGCGCAACAGTATCAAATTACCGGGCGTCTTACGCGCTTTAACTCGACTTTTCCGCCGCGAGGATTTCCGCCGTACGAGACTTATTTAGGCCGCGACAATTAAAGAAATCTCTCGAATGCGCCGGTAACTACTTTACGCACGCCCGGGAATCCGCTTCAATACAATATAAATTTCCCGGTGATACGACTCGAATCGGTCTTTTAACACAGCTCGTGGTGCTGGTATGTGCTTCGATAATAATAATGACGACCTTTGCTTGAAATACGCCACATATATTACTCGGATGATTTGCGAAAAACTAATAACAGGATCACAAACACCCGATACTTTGCCCGATATCGGAGATTACGCTTTCTCCTCACTCTAATTACGCATAGCGTGTACAAGATAAATGCTAACAATACACAGAAATAATACGGAAACTATCGATAACGACTGTGGTGTACGAGTCGTGCGACGCAATACTTTGCGAGATCCGGAATATCGATCGCGCGAGCGTGAAAATCCCGATACTTTACAACATGTAATAATTACAGACGCGAAACTAACATTAATGACTGTCGGCGGCGGCGAAATGAATAGAGAGAGCCTATTATATCTAATTCGGATGAGCGACGTGTGCCCGTCGGCCGTGCGACTTAATCTACCAAAATGTTCACAAAGTTAATTCACCAAAACGCGTGGCTCGACAACTATTAAGGGCGCGACTCATCCGAATTAATTACCTACAAGTAATCGGTAACAAAATCGATCGACGACGTTCGTCCCACCGGCTGGAAGCTCTCGATTATCCTTCTTCGATAATTAGAATACGCTCTAAGAGACCTGCGTCTGAGTGGCCGCCCCTTTGGCTGGATTATTCCGGCCCTCCGCGCCTCTTTCCTGCCATAAGAAATATAAAATTACCGGCAGCGGTGTTCACCAGCCATCAAAAGTGTTTTTAATATTAGACAACTACGACCTGACGTCTCCCGTTTCCAGGGTGTCCTGGACTCCCGCTCTCGGCTGTCGCTCTTCTCTCATCCTCTTCTTCCGCCGGATGGGATCCCGCCGCTCGACCTTGTGCCGACAACTAACTCGCGGGCTCATATCGAGCTTACATTTTCGATAATTATTATAAAAAGTCAAATCTCGTCGATCTGACGATCGGGCCGCTCTCTCCCTAAATTGGGAGGACGTAGGCCCCCGAAAAACCGTTGCTTCGTTCTTTTCGTATAGCATTCTCTTATTGATTTTAATATTTTAGAAGTTAGTTTCATTTATTAAAGTTAATTATTAAAAAGAATATGTACTATATATATATATA